ATTATAAAGGGTGCAGGGCTATTTCGTAGTACAGAGTTTATTCCTGTTTTTATGGGGCCTATATGCCAACTTTGACTGCAACGACTGGTGTATTTTAAAGGTAATGGTATTTTTCTGCCCTGGTTCTGTTACTAAAGTGTTTTATTACGTTTTTAAAAATAAAAACTACAAAAAAGACACTGCTAATTAAACGTTAAAATTATATTAAATCAGGCTATAAATCAAAGAGTATTATTTCATTTAATTGCCAATATTACTAACTGAATATGTATTGTATTATTTTTCAAAGTTTTTTTTTGTATTTATCGGAACGCCATGTCTTCCCTAATACTCCATCAAAAGCAATGATTGAACTAATTATTCTGAAGATTATACTATCTGCTAATACGGAAAAATAAAATCAATTAGACAAAATACAATTTACGGTTGGCAATATATGTAACCATTTGAAAGGCAATTTCTTATAAAGGGAAAAAAAAAGTAATAGAAATCGGTGAATTACTAGCAAAGATCACATAGGTTTTGCACGATTTTCATTCTCAATAATAAATGTTTATAATTGAATAAGAAAAAGAATTAATGCTTAATTCTAAAAAATAATCGCATTTTCTTATTAAATTTAGTTTTTAGGCGACTGAAAAACCATGAGAATAAATTACACGTATCAATCAACAAAATTTATTTTTCATCCAATCAATTCTAAACAAGAATCGGTGCATATGCTTCATTGTATTCATATTGGTAATGAATAAATTGAAGTAATTTGAATTAAAGCTAAATATCTAAATTAAAAAAAAAAAACTTTCAATGATTGCTTTCTAAAATGAAAAACGTTTGCAAAAATGAAAAACATTACAATAATAATTCAATAATATGTACATTAATAGAACATCCACTTTGCAGAAGTCGGAAGTCCAAAAAATGATCTTTTAAATGTCTTTTGGTTTATATTTTTCAATGTGCGTCAGATAAAAATTGACCAGAAAATCTCAAAACTAATTTATCATATAAATAGAAATAAAGCACTACGGCTTCATCATCGGACTCGTGTGGAAGTGAAATTAAAAAAAAAAATGGTAGTGTTTATCATTTTTTTTAATACTTCTTATTAATTTTCTGGTGTATTTTCTTGTTTAACTAATTTTATACGATTTTAACCATGCTATTTTATTAAGAACAACTTTTTAACTTCGCAATTATTTTCACTTTTCGTCTGATTCAGTTCTAGAGTGGAAAACCTGTATCACTACAATCCACGAAGGGTCTTGGATTCAGTTCTTTGTAAAGAAGTACTGTCTCTTGGTCAATGGTTTTAAAAGGAAGTGATTTGAATGAGAGGACGCTCAATACATCAATATATTATTAATATATACATACATATGTACTTTTTACACATACTACTGTGTTATAAGAAATTATGACTGCTGCAGAATGGAAGATAAAATGTGCATAACTAAAACTGTTAATGCTTAAAAAAACCTTTATAGAGAGAAACTTAACTATTTGCCCACTGGGAAGACAGTAACCGTTCAACAGATAAAGCTTATAAGATTAACTAGAACTTGGACTTATAACAGATAAAGCCTTAACTCTGTCTTTTTGGTAATTTAAACTTTCCTCTTATCAGGAAGTTGTTTGATTAAAGCGTTTTAACTCCATAACATCTTCCCAACTGTTCCGAACCAACTTTGAGCAATTCCAGCAGTAAGGTGCCCCTCTTCAAAACGTTAAGCTTTTCATTTTATAAAACGTAAGTTCACGTCTGATTGAAGAAACATTAAAATATAATATGAAAGATGAAAAAAAAAGTCGTTCATTATCATGTAGACTTGTTTTACCTGAAATACCCCTTTATTGTGACTGTAGAGTTATATATGCGCACTGACTGAAAACATATTGATGGTGAAACAAATGGTTTATTAAAAATCATAGTCGACCAAATATCACAAATTAACAAAACCCGGCAAATAATCTTTAAATGAATGAACATCACTCAGAACCAGTAGCGAATTCAGGGTTTAATTTTATTCAGTTTATTTTTATTCAACCTACGCTTTTAAATTACAGGAATACAATTTAATTTGAGAAGAGTTTACATTTAGTTGCTAAAGTATCTGCGTTATGGTTTAAAAATATAATATATTGTGGTTCTTTTAAGTATCTGATTCTGATCACTCTGACTCAGATCACTAAGGATGAATGAAAAAAAAAATAATAGAAATAATATTTTTTTTTCGAGGTGAAGCCTAAATTCCACATCACTTTGAATCCACTAATGCTCAGAATATATACAAATATTTTTTTGTTATCAAATGAAAATTCAGGATCAGATTTTTGTTTGACCTTCATGAAACCTTTTAACCTTATGCATAAATTATTTTTAAAAAAATAAGTAAAAATCAACCGAAGAATTTAGGGGTCGTGAGACAGAAGAAACATATCTACCGAAGGTAAACTGATTACTACTCGTTCCCCGACACATCTTATGATTACGCGATATTAGCTTAATTCATATTAAACGTTATATAAAATCGGAAATTTTTATAGAGCGTAAATTAAAAACGATCAGTTTTACAAAAGCATACTATTTATTTTATATTCTCTACTATGTTTCATTGTTTAGCTTATGAAGACAATTCTGGAACCATCGAAGTATAATCAATTAATAGTTTGATCATATCATTAAAGTATCTACACGAAAGTATTATGATTAAATTTATAAAAATATTTTCACAGACCTGTGCTCTCATGTATTCACAAAATCTAACATAAACCAGACCTTGGCTTGGACAATTTAATGCTTGAAGTAAAATCACCATATAAGAATTAACTGAAGTCTGTCAAGAAAAGAATGATTGATAATTTAGTAGAAACAAACTAAATATATAAATAAATAAAAAAATAGCCCTAAAGATTTGGAATACAGAACAACATTGAATTGAGAACAAGCCATAAAATTAAATGGGCTCATAACATTTTTGATAGTTTTTAACACTAAACACATTCTTTCAAAAGAAAACAAATTGTTTTTAGTACAGATATCTTTTTAAATTAAATTGAGGTAAACTGATTAATAGGAAGGCGCCGATTGATTTGAAAATAAAATAAATAATCTAACTAGTTCGATCGTATTTTGTATTATTTTTTTTTCTAAAAATAGGTCATTTGTTATTATTTAAGTTACGACGAGGTTATAACACAACAAATATTTATTATAATATCATTAAAATGAATTTGTTTTATTGACTTCAGTTCACTGTTTTAATGGAGGATATTAAAAATTAACGACCTGATGTCAATTTTTGATATTGGAAAGTTCGTTTCGATTAGCATGAGGTATAATAAAATACTACTGGCCTATATCGTGTAAACTTTCTCTTAAACTCAGAGACAAGTTCCGTTTACGGGAATGGATACGTATATCATCTATCTAGATATCATATAGAAGGTACCGGTTAAATTTTGAATGTTACTAGGTTTATATATTCCATAATCAAGTTTAAAAAGAAAAAGAAACAAGATCTCAAGTTTGTGTCCTTCAGAAAGCAAGAGAAAGTGGTTCTCCGGGCATTAGCTCGCGGATCTAGCAGCTGTGCTGTAGCCATTCTCTTTATACGGAATAAAATATTAGTTGCGCAAATTATTATTAAAAGTGAATAAATTGAAAACGTAATTATCTAGATTATTTGTAAAAATACTGGTGATCAGTGGTACTTACAATCTGAAATGATCGATATAGTTCCTTATGGAATGTCCAGATTAATAAATTATTAAAGTCAATGATCAAGTACGAATTTAGGTTATGCCAATAAATCTCCAATGGCGAGTTCGGAAACCAAAAACATAAAAAAGTTCAATTTAGAATCGAAAAGTGATAGAACAAAATAAGTTCAACTAATTTCCAAGCTAAATATCATCTGGTTTAAATAAAATTAAGTTTATCGTTTTTGATCTTTTGGGTTTTGGATTTTTTAGTAGAGAGTCGAAAAGAATGCAGCGAGTTACGAGAGCGTCAAGCCTAGGTCAAATGATTTGAATAAATAAAACGAAATTAAAACTAGTCACTAAGTATATTTTTAATGAAGCTGAACTTTTAAGAACGTTTTTGTTAATTTCAACCTTATTTATTGATTTAAAAAACACAGTAAGTGCCCTAAAATGACTCAAATCCTTTTCTATATAAGACATGTTAGCGACATGAGCATAGTTTTATAATAGACCATTTCATCTAAATTCTTAATGATTTAAGGTCGTGAAATGTCACTTAATGACTGTTAGCTATAAGCCAACGATGTATTGTCACAAAACAATATGCTTTTATTTTGTATTTTCTTTAATTAAGTTAGACAAAGTTTCCGTAGTACTGTTTTAAAAAGAACTTGAATATGAAAATCCTTAAACAATAAAAAAAAATTATTGAAAAAAAATATAATAATTCAGTAGATTCGAAAAACGATTAAATGAAGATTAATGGCGAGTGGTTGGTCAAGTATATTTCATAAAGTTTTAAATTATTAAACATAAAGAGTTTTCTAAATTATTTTTAATTGGTTTTTTTCTTCTTCTTTTTTAACAGCACATGATTAATTATAATTTAAAAGACATATATCAAACAATTTTAAAATAAAATTAGATTTATTTGAAGTCATACTAAAAAATGTTCACAACTATAAGTTACACATCCTATAGAACATTTCACTGTATTTATTGGTTTATGAGAGACATCAAATAAAATGTATTCCCAGGTGTCTGGTGCGTTAGTCCGTACACACAGACCTATTTGCAAAAAAATTTCGAAATATCAACAAGAAGAACATTACTACCTACAGTTGTATGGTCCTTCGTTTCCAGAGACAATTTTTAACAAGACCTTTTTACGGTATTTATATATCACGTCGACGCATGAAATAAGTGTAGTAGTAACTCGTAGCGAACAATCGGTTTTCTTAACGGGCACACTCAGTCACTACGATACGTATACATTAATGTAGAGAACTCACCTAAGCGAGAACGTTGCAGCTCAGCGTCCGCCGACCATCTGCGATCTGAGGGCGCCCCCCTCCACGGCGAGAAGGACATCCCTACCTCTTGGAGCGCCGGAGGACCACTACTAGTGGAAGGCCGCCGCAGACTGCCCACTTCTCCTTCCATTCCCCCCTGCCCACTTTCCAGCCTCTGTCTTAATAACGGGTTAGCGAGCTGGTGAAAGTGGACTATGACATTAACAGGGAAAAAACCAGCTCATTTGATTTTTTACCCATCCCTGGCCAGTTATTGCTCCATATCACCTTTTTATTTCCGTTCTGCAATCGGATTTTTTTTTTTTTAATGCATCGCAAAACAAATTGGAGATAAGTTAATATCGAACTGTAAATGTGTCATGGAGGAAACTTTCAACTGGAATCATTCCTTCTGTTGCAATAGTAATCAATTATCGTCAATTCGTCAACTAAATATTAAATAAATTATTCTCATCGAATATTAAAAGGAAGGTAGCACAGTGTAAATGGCACTCCACTTTGAAGATTGGTGCAAGATCCCATGATCATGCTTTGAATGGATTTTCGTTAATAGTTAAAATCAGGGCTTTAATTAGGTCACTACTTTCCATTTTCTCTTACTACTCTCGCTCAAAATGGGTAAAAAAACGCACACAGGGTCCAAAGTGGAGGTCGGTATGGTATGGACCAGACAGTTCGGTCATTTCATTATGTTTTGATCTTGAGATCATGTGCCATCCATAAAGGAAGTTGAAAACGTCCTAATATCGTTAATTTATTGTAGTGTACATAAATGAACTATAGAATTGAGATTACACGAAATATAAAAATCTATATGCCATTTGGATGTTTATATATTAAGATTTTACACATCATGAATAAAAAAATTATTTCATTGTAGTGTAGCGGTTGATAAATACTATTACGTTAATTCCTCTTAAAAAAAAAATCTACCTTTATGAAAGGGTCTTTAACACAAACAAATAAAATAAATAATAAAATGCAGTAATTATAGGAAAAATAAATTTGTTATGTATTTTTTGACAGGTGTTTATGCATTATAATTTAGAAGAGTTTAAGAGTTGTTCGGAGAGCCTTACTTACGTTATTAAAGATATAAAACTAGAAAATTTGAGATGCACTATTCATGTGGCGAAAATGACAAATGACAATATTTCGAATAAAGTTCTTGGGCCCAGTACTTATGAGGAAGTAATGCTTTTAATCCAACGGTTGTGGAAAGCAGTTGATTGAATCAATATCACTCTCAATTTTTAGAAAAATATAACAACTCAAAATTCTAAAGTTAGGACGAAAAGGAATTGTTTTTATTTGATTATAAACTTAAGTTCAAAAGCTAGATATATGATATAAATCTATTAGTTTGTTAACAATTAGGCTGTCACATCATCAGATGAGTAACATATTGAATTTATGATGAGAAGATTCCTTGACGTGAATATACAGTGGAATTTACAGATTAAAAGGAATATATACCATTAATTCCTCTGTTTTAGCCCTTTGCAATGAGGGCGACAGGATAATATCACAAAGTATTGCATTTAAGTATATGGGGGTGATGATAAGTAAACTGCAGAGAGATATAAAATTATAATCACTAGCAACAAAACAATAATTGGTCTTCTTAACTGTATACAAAAAGGTGTCTCTCCTAAAAATAGAAAAAAAAATCTCACAATTCCTCCATCATTGATATGTCTTCACATGGGGCAAAGTCATGAACAGTGACAAGGGAGAAAGTTATTTATTGGTCCTAAATGTGAATTTTCGGAGAAAAATCGATGACATTCACATGTAACAAAGGATTTCAAATTAAGAAAAAATCTGAAAGACAAATAAAACAGAAAGAAGTTTGGTGTGGTTATTGGGAAAGGATGAGCATGTTGGCCCTTTCCTATGCTTGAGTACAATGAAGTAAAAATATGAACACGTTGAAGATCTTGGAAGCTGTGGATAGAGGATATCTGGATATGGCAGGTAGAGGTCTGACCGAAGAGGACTACGTAGATAGAGAATATTGGAGAGAGAAGAAGGAGCGGGATGTGAAACAGAATCTGATACACGTATTTGTACATAGTCGTTCAAAATTATATAATGATGATTGTTATTTTTTTAAAAGAATTTATCTTATTTTTTGTTGACAATATTCCAAAAAGTTGCAAACAGGAAAGATGTTGATTTAGATACTTAACCAGATAAAACTATGACTAAAAGCAGGGATATTTTTTTTTACCAAGTTTATTATTTTACTACCTATGTCTTCAACATTAGTAAAATCTCTAAAGGATTTCCCACTGATCCTTATACATTATCTCTATCTAAACATTTGAGTTTCTGCTAATCATCAATTAAAGAATTAAATCAGTGGCTCAAAAATCTGAAACTGACAACATTATAAATAACTACTACCATAAAAAATTGTTATTGAGATGACAACATCATAATAGTAGCGAGATTGCCCGCAAATGAACTTTTTAACTATTGTCGGGTATCAAAGGTTAATTGCAAGTTTCCATTGGACAAGAATTTACGTAACTTATTTCTTTGCGTAATAGAGAGCGTAAAAAGCTATTCAGCACGATCCCTAATAGGATTCTTTTCGAAGAAGAAGAAAATAGAGAATCATCCGTGAAGTACTCCCTTCATTAGTTCAGATGGAATCTATAGGTTATTGTCCTGTGCCTAGCAGCATGAAAAGTTCATTGAATTGCATTGCAACAATCGTCTCAGATTCGAAATGACATTACTAAGTTGTTGTTTTTTTTCTCTCTTATGACAATTTTCATTATGTTTATACTTAATATTTACTAGGAGGGTACCCTCTGTCGTGACGACGGAACAACCCCCATTTTATAAATTATACACCTGTTCATTTAATTGTGTACTACTACTTATCAACATAAAAAAAAAAAAAAATCCGTATAAATCTTTAGTCTAAATACTTTATTTTGTATTAGAAGAGTAGGAGGTAAGTAAAAGGCTTGAGCCATATGTAATTGAATGAACAGAATCTTCTACTATCCTAATGCTAAAATAAAATAAAATATGAAAGTCACTAAAGCTTTTTTATATAATAGAGAGATTTGATTAAATGTTTTATGTAATGTTTATGTCCACGCCTGTGGTATTTGTTTTAGAACTCCATTAAAAAACATCAAATATATGTACTTCAAATGATAGATAGGACTTTACTTCCAAAATAACTATATTCGTGATTTAATACGACTATAATGAATTCTCCATTGCTAGTTCATAGAATTGAAATTCAAGAGAATCATACTTTTCGTTGTTAATAACAGCAGTAAAATTAGTACAGAGAATAATGCAAATAGCAAAAGTTCGCCTAAATCCTCTTGTTCGCCTAAAGTACTGAAAATATTTGTTCTTTCCAAGATCTATCCTGATGTGAGAGATTTCAACTATCATTACATACCATTCATTATATCGTACGCTTCTATACGATTGAGATCATCAATTATTACTTAAAAAGCATCTGACTTTCAAATTTTCATTCGGATTTCTGATTTTCTACACCTTGCGCTTCATCAAGCGAAATCGACATACTAAGTATTTCGCTTGCGCGGTCTAGTAGTTTGATGCTATTGACATTTTTCAAAGTTCAGAAAATGTAGGCCGCATTTCTTGGATATATCAGTTTAATATTTCTAAAAGGAATATCTCAGATTAAGGTCCTGCTGGGGTAACTGTAATAAAGCTCTAGTATTTTGTTCTTCAAATTTGTCTTAAGTTACAATTTATGCTTTGTACGAAGTATGACATTCCCGATTACGAAATGCTTCTAATCCTTATTATATTAAATGTCATATAAGACTTATTTTGTATCAGTAACACCACAGAATAGTGCTTTGTCACAATCAGATCGGGCAGATAATTACATAATTATAATTGTATGTTTGAAAGTTTCCTCAAAATCATTAGTTTTGAACTTGTATATAGTGCTTTTGTTTTAGACAGAAACGGAGAAGAGTGTATGGAAGCAAAAAAAAAAAAAAAAAGAAAAAAAAAAAGATGCCCGATCTTCTTCAATCAATCTTTTCGAAGGAACGAAAATTGAAAGAGTGAAAATTTACTTTGAAGTTGAGAGTAATTATTTATGGCTGACACGTGACACTTTATTCATTACATTTACTAACGCGAAACCAAATCCATAGGTTTGTTTTATTAAAGTGAATGCCACAGTAGGAATCTATTAATTTTTTAAATATTTTTTAGTTGTTGATGATCAAACAGTAAATCATCACTTTTAATGTAATGTAAAGTTTTTGATTATTATTTAATTATTATTTTACTTTTGTTAATTTTATATTCTCTGTATATATGGTGTGAATGTGTTCATATATCATATATTGTCCACGTGACAGATTATTATATTTCTAAATAAATAAATTAAAAAAAATGTAATGTAAATAAATATGGAATTTAATGAATAAAACTCTGAACTACTATATTATACAGATCTTAATATAAAATAATAGCAACTAGATAGTATATCATTGTAAATAAAATCTCCTGTTCCAGCCATAAGTGTGAATAGGATTATAGATAATAATTGAAGAAAAAAAAAATGTTTAAAATTAAGGTGGAAATTAAATGAGGCGTTATACCGCATTTGACCTCGTTTTGAAGAAGTGGGCGGTAATGATTTTTGACTATCTTCATTCTACGAGTATGATAATATTTTCTTTGAATTTTTCTGCTGAATCATAAACGTTCCATTGAACGAGAAATGATGTCGTTTTAGTGATAACGGTTTATTATTAACAATTGATATACCCAAGGAATTTTTTTTTTCATGAGCCAATATAACTAAAAAAATAAACTAGCACCAATTTATTCAGATGAATGATTCATATTCAAATTTATTCTATATTTATGTTTAGTGGATGAGCTTAAAAATAATTTAATAACTGTATTGATGGGTGGAACAACGTTGGATGTGATGTTCAAAATATCATTTTTTGGTGGAATAAAGTTCTCGGTGACCCACTTATATGGAAAAGTTATAAATTAAATTCTTGAGCTAATCGCTAGATAAA